ATCTCTAAGATCGATGGTTTGATCTCCACCCCAAAATTATCGAACTAAAAAAACTAATGATGTGAGGTTCCAACATAACATTCAATAACATTTATTGTCGAGAACGCAACCAAAGTCCAACGTTCGTTAGAGAAGGGGAAGATCAAGGGTATATAAGGTGAGAGACGACATCTATATTGGGTATGAGCCATTTTTTGTAATACCAAGAGTAAAGTCATTAAGACTTATGTCTAAAATGGACAATGTCATACCATTGGAGACATCTGTCGAAGGTTCATTGTCCTCAACGAGTGATATTAGAATCATGCCACTGACTAGTCACGTGGGTAGAATCATTGGGTGATGAACAAAAGTGGCAAGCCTCACACAATGTAGTCATTGTGTAATTCGTGGTTTAGCAATTTGACAGAGATGATGTACTATGGTGAATAGGAGTTGGCTTGGTTAAAATCAATGTACTCAAATAAAAATATGGATGGATGACTATTCGAGGGGAGATTTGATAATACTTTGTTTGAGTGGAAGGATTTTTAATCATGTGGGTAGAATCCTCAAGTAAAGGACAAAGTCGCGAGCCTCAGAAGATGTAGTCATTATCTATTTCGTAGTTGAGCTATTAGATAGGCCTAGTGAATAGGAGTTGACCTAGTTAAAAACAACGTGAATGATCATTTGAAGGGAAGTTCAATGTTATTTTATTTGAGAAGATGATTGTTGGGAATGTGACTAAAATCTTACATTGATTAGAAAATAGGAAGATCATAGATAATTATATAATTGACGGACGACATCTCTATTAATAAGAGGCATTTTAGGTGATGCCAAAAGTAAAACCACAAGAATTTATATGACTATTCCGTCCGAATGTAGCACGTGCATAAACATATTTATCATCGAAGAAAAATTTTTAGTGTGAACGGAAAGAGTATGTACTGTAAAAATTTTTAGTGTGAACGGAAAGAGTATGTACTGTGACAACGTTCACCGTTGCATCTGGCCACGTAAGCAAGCAAGGGGAGGGAGAGGGGCATTGAATTTGGTGGGAAATTCGAAATTCCAATTAAAGAATGATGGTGGCCTTTGTCTTTTCCTAATCAACCAACATACAACTTATTGCATCTGACACCAAAAACGCATCTGTTTTCGGGACCCGTTTTTCTCAAAAAATAACCGCCCCATCTTAATTTTCTTCTAATTTTCTCTAATAATAATAATATTGTAATTATTGTTTATGTTTTTATTTTATTATCATTGTTTTTTTCATCGGTCTGTTTCTAGAAGAAGGTAAAAGAGGCTCTTGAATGATCTGTGGAATTGTGAAGAACAGTTGCTTTAATTTTAAAGTGAATTTCACAAAATATGTTGTGGAACTCTATTAAAAATATCTATATATTTTTTTAATGATCGAAAATTTGTGAAAAATAGTTGTTAAAAGCATGTTTTTATTTTAAAATATTTACTATGTTTTAATGGCGTTTTTTGTTAAATGAAAAATATAAGTAGTATTATAAGAGTTTTTTTCTTATAACTATTTTAACAGTTATTAAGGATATTTTAAAAATTAGATAAGTCCAATCCATACGGTTTAGTTGGATTATAAACTTGTTTGAATTACACCGAGATTCAAATAAATGAAAATTATATGGGTTAAGGTTGGTTTAAGAATTAATCTAAAATAGATTCGAGTTTGAACCAATCCAACTTGTAAGTTGTTAGTAATTTTAAAACTAGTTCTTTTATTTTTCGATTAAACTATAATGTGGATATATATTTATTTCAATTTTATTTCATTCCATAGTTTATTTATGGATTACTTCATTTAATAATTTTAAAGAGTGTAATTTCTCACCATATGAATAAATATTGTGAAAACTTATGGATCTTGATTGAATATGTAAATAAATGTTTAAGGTATTATTATCTACTTTTATGTATACAATATTTTAAATAAATGATCTGAATAACTAAAACCAACTCAACCCAAATGTCTTATAATTAGATTAAGTTGAGTACATTATTTAATAAAAGTGGTTAAGGTGGAATAAATTTATAACTCAAGAAATTGAGTTGGTAATTTAATAAAGATTTGTTTTCTTATTTATCTACTATTTCACTTTTTGTTTTTATTTTAAGATACAGCCTCAAAATCCGTGACAAGTGTAAAAAATCAAAATCCAAACTCGAATTTTAAAAAGCTTTTAAAAAGTTCTTTTTTTCTGTTAAACTGTTCTTTTATACCTAAAAGTAAAAGCAAAATGGTTGTAATAATTTAAATAACTTTATTTTATTTTTTTCAAAAAGGAAAACCATTCAAATATGCGTAGTTTCACTTTCAACCCAGCCGACATGATAATTRAATTAGTGTATAAAAGTCAGAAAAAAAAATAAACTTAATTAATAATAAAGTGTAAGAAAGAACATTAGGTCGAACTTTGAAGTGTTGAACCCGATTTGTCAAACATATTCGAGGAAGAGGGGACCAATCATTTGCAAAGTACGAGAAGTAAATTAATGTACATTTAATTTAATTTAATTAATAAATTAGTGCCTTTGATTCACGTCTTTGCTTCATCTATAAATTAGGAAAAAAAAACACAATAATATATTTTAAGCTTGATCTAGCTTCGATTAAATAATAGTTATGAAAATCGACAATGTATTGTATGGTCTGAAACACTACACGATAAAAAAAAAAGTATTATTATATAGAATTACAACTGTGTTCTGTTTTGTTTTATTTTTAATACGACATGTGGGGATTGGGAATTGAACTCGCAATCTTTTAGTTAGAGATATTTGTCAATTAGTGATGAGCTATGCTCGCTTTGACTACACGTGTGTTTTGTTATGACAACAAATCATGTTCGTGATATTATTCACTTGTAGCCTTTACTCGAACTATGATTCATATATTTTTCACTATATAACATCAACGTAAATGGGGTAAGTGGGTAACTATTGAATCATATCATAAAATCAATTGGTGGCTAGTAACTTTCATTCAATTTTTGAAACTTTCACCCACCACGTGATATGTTCAAATATGAGACAAGTTTATGATACCACTTGCCATATATGACAACAAACATATATGCGCGCGTGCATAGAAAAATGGTAACGAAGAGTAAAATAGTAACTGAATAAAGTGGTGAAAGAAAGAGAAGGAAATATAGGAGAGACAATTGCAGTACAACAGTCGGTATGGCCCTACCTCTCACAGACTGCATGAGATGGGTTCGTGCACCACGCGTTGTCACAATGTGACTCCACGCGCTTCCTTTAAATAAAAAGTAGTAAGTTTTTAATTATGGCGTTAATGACATTTGAGATTCACCTCCAACGACGAGGACGGAGTGAGGTAAAAATGTAAAATTAAGGGGAAGAAGAGAGGGCGGCGGCGGAGGGGGGTTGGTTCCGGCTTCAATTATACGTTAGCAATTCGATCCAATTCAAACGCTGGCATAAATTGGGAGTTCATGTGCCTACGTGGGGCACACTCATTGGTGGTCACCATTATCTATCTGGACCATTTGTCTTCGGCTTCAATGTGTTCCCCATCTCACCAACCCACAGGCGACACCTGTAGAATTATAAGCCGTCCGATGAGAGAGCCTCCTCGAGATCGTAACCGCAAAGAAGTCACAATTATGTGGAAGACTGCCCAATGAGAAGCCTGGTCCACTTCGTAACCCCACAAGTGGGACCCACTCTATCAAGTTGCAATTTGACATCAATCAGGGCCGTTCTTCTGGATCTGTTGTCACTTCTCTGAACACGGGGTAAGAAGTTAGATTTTTAAATAATAAAAATAATAATACATACTTTTTTATTTATTTATAATAAATATTGATGTTTTAAATTATTGTAAGCTGTTTATTTAATATTTGTTGCTTGATTTTTCTTGGGGAGGCTAGTTTTGATTATGATTATTACTGTTTTAAAATTATGTTTACAAAGAATATGATATTTTGAAACGAATTTTCACGTATTTGTTTTGAAAAATAATTTTATAATGATGGCGGTATCTTTTGAAAAAGCTATTAGGATAATTTTATTGTTATTATTTTTTTTTTTCAAAAAAATACCTTGTTTTGCTCTATATAACGATGCTAAAAATTACCCGAATTTTAGAATAGATGTAAAAATCATATGGGATCTTTTTTTTTCTCCTTTAATAAAAAAACACCACTTGTAATTCATGGATGGACCTATCGGCTTGAGAACAAATTGAGTTTGTTGAGAGACCTTTTTATACAGATTAACCACCAATACTTGTAATCAACTAAATTATCGACACTTTTAAAAATATTGAGGGTAAATTTAAACCCACAATTCTTTATGTGAAGCAAAGATGCCCTGATAATTGATGTTCGAATTGAACATTCAAAATATTATAGGTTAGTATTGAACATATGAACCTCGATTTTATTTATCTTGAATTAGAGTTTGCAGGTGCAAATAGAAGTAAAAGTAATTTTAATTTACACTAAAGTTTCATTAATTAATAAGTAACGATATTTTCCTCCAAATTGAGTAGTAGAAGTTTCATAAATCAATAAGTGACGATATTTTATTTTTGATTAAGTCGTAGAATATTTTTGCTTCTCATCACTTAATCCTAAGAAAGATAAACTCATAGAAGAAGAAAAATATAAAATAAATACATAAAATTTTTAATGACGAGCAGCACAAAATACAGTTGAGATAAAAAAAAAACACGAACCACTATTCATAACTAATAAAACTATTACCGTTTGAAGAATGATTAATAAATCACTTTTGAAATTAATTTTTAGACATTTATTGGGAGGCTCATTGACTAAGAAAGGACAAATGGTTATCTTATCACTAGGACACCCCCTAAACACACACATTTAGGGAGACTAATTAATTAATAAAATAAAATAAAATAAGGGCATTTAAATATTTGTAATAATTAAAAAAAAGGGAAGTTTTTATAATTTGTTCATAAGTTGGAGAATCCACATACTAAGCACACCCACCAATCACAACCCACCACCTTCAGCCCCTGCTCTCTTCTCCTTTCTTTCTTTCTTTTTTCTTTTAGATTCATTCATTCATTCAAGCTCTCTCTGTTGCTTCGCTTTTCGAGCTCCCAAATCTCTCTCTCTCTCTCTTTCTCTCTAATTTCGCGTTTCTCTCTCCTCTCTGCTTCAAGTTTCAACCCAAAAAGAGGAAGAAAGAAATAAAAAAAAGAAAAGAAATCTCTTCTTTTCGATTCCTTTTTTCACTTCTCGATTGCTTTCTATTCTCCCGATTTAGATACCCAGTGCTCTGAAAGCTGTGGATCCATTCATTAAAATCCCTAATCATCCTCTGTAACCAGCTTTTTTCCCGGAAAATTTTGGGCACTTTCTCGGTTAGTTTCCCGGAAAGTTAAGGTGCTAGGGTTTGTGTTGTATAGAAGGAGTTAGAAGTTAGAAGATAGAAGACTGGGGTGAGATTTATTTTTGTGATTATTATTCTGATTTTTGTTTTCTTGGAAAGGCGTAGTGTCTTTTTGTGTAGATTCCTCAGAGTACGCCTTCTCACAAAAAGGGTATTCTGATTCCATTCAAATGCTTGTTGATTTAACGCCCTTATTGTCAAATTCGTATTGCGAAATATCCACCATTTACATTTAGTGCATTTCCTCTCTGGGGTTCTTCCTCTATTTAACAATTCCAATTCAATTCTGTGTTCCCCCAATTCAGTATGAAGAAGAATTCTTCTGAAACGCTTTGAATTCTGAATTGGAGGGAGGGAGGGAGCCTGATGAAGTGGGAAATGGAAATTCTGTCCCCCCCTTCTCTTGTTTCCACCATGAGTTGGAGCTCCGGCGATGGCAAGTCCTCAAAATGGACCGCTGCCGAGAACAAACTGTTCGAGAATGCCCTCGCCATCCACGACACCGACACGCCTGACCGGTGGCATAAGGTGGCGGCGATGATCCCCGGGAAGACGGTGGGGGATGTGATCCGGCAGTATAAGGAATTGGAGGCTGATGTTAGTAGCATAGAGGCTGGTTTGATCCCAATTCCGGGCTATGACACCTCCCAATTTACATTGGATTGGGTCAATAGCCATAGCTATGATGGCTTCAAACAATCTTACGGCCTCGTCGGGAAACGATCGTCGGGTCGGTCCACCGATCAGGAGAGGAAGAAGGGAGTTCCATGGACAGAGGATGAACATAAGTAAGTGTTGAGTTTTGCTTAGCAAGAAACTGACTTATTTTGACTTCTTTTGAGTAGAATTCTGCTGAGGTGACTTGAATTTGAGCAATTTGTGTAAGAATTTTGGGGTTTCTTCCTTGTTTTGAACTGATTTTGCAGGCTGTTTTTGATGGGGTTGAAGAAGTATGGAAAAGGGGATTGGAGGAACATCTCAAGGAATTTTGTGGTAACTAGAACTCCAACTCAAGTAGCTAGTCATGCTCAAAAGTACTTCATCCGCCAGCTCTCCGGTGGAAAAGACAAGCGGAGAGCGAGCATCCACGACATAACCACCGTCAATCTCAACGACACGAGAAGCCCGTCCCCCGACGACAAGAAGTCGCTGTCGCCGGAGCACGCAGCCGTGCTCCCCCGCCAGCCTAATCCATCCTCCACCACGACCGGGCACGGGAACGCCTTCAATTGGAACCATCAGCACCACCACCACCAACACCACAACAGCAGTGGAGCAGCTATCGCTTTCAACCACCCGAACGGGAACGTTTTCATGTCTCCGACCGCGTTCGGGGTGAACTCCTGGCTGCCGGAGCATCACCTGCAAAAAGGTGCTGTCAATCAACCCTTCATTGGACCCCAAAACATGATCTTTCAGCTGCAGACTGGCCATTGCTTCCCCCATGGATAATTGAATTGAGCCATTTCTCCTTTTTTTTTCTTTCCTTTTTTGAAATGCCAATCCCAAATTGCCAATGTCCTCTTTGAGTTTTCATTAGTATAGTTGTAATCTTAATTTCCCTCTTGGTTTATGGAAATATCTTGTCAACTACTTTTAATACAGTCCATAGCTTGAAGAGGACAGGAGGATTGAATTCATTTTCTCTCTTGTTTTTTTTTGTTTTTTTTTCCTGCAAATTGCAGATTCTGTGTTGGTTGGGAGAAGGCATTTAGAGATGGGGCAATGTGGTCTGCTTAGTCAATGAAAAATGCTGTGGGAAGGAAGAAGCTAAGTAAGTTCCAAGAATGGTTCCTCTCGATAAGATTCTTGTCTGAGAATTCGACTCAACGTTTCGCGAATCGAACTTCGACATGAATCGTTTCGTCTCGAACACAAAACCCGTCTTCTCCATCTCCGAGGCGAATCGAAATACCGAAAAAGTTCAGTATCTTCCCAAGAAGGATTTTTTGTTTTTAGACAATACCCATATGCTTATATCAGTCCTTGTCTATTTGGCTATGCATCTCAGAAACATTATTGTTATTATTATTCTCTTAGTTTCTATGTTAATTGCCAAGTCTTGAATCAAAATTTTTTTTTTGGGGGATTTTCAACTTTAATAATATAATTAAAATATGTTKTGATAACTTTTGGATTGAACTTTCTTTTCAAACCCAAAAAGACAGACAAAGCAACAGGTGAAAATACTGTAACAAAACCTGTGATTTGATTGATTTTGCTTCAAGCAATTCTGTTTCTATGATTTTGCATTCAAACAAATTTTTTTTTTTCTTTTCACCCAATTTTTATGTCTACAAGTAAAATGAAGAATTCAAAGCCATAAAATAAAATTTTAAACTCAAAAATAAAAAGTCATCACAATACTCAATTTGGTATCCCATTGAATCAGATCTCTCTCTCTCTCTCTTTCTCTCTAGGAGCTTAAGCGCTAAGCTGACAGTGAATGCACTATCTTTAAAGAGGCATATATGCCTCAAACCTTGTTTTTTTTATTTATTTATTTTTGCGATAAAATTTTTATTGATACGAGATCTTTTTGCGATGGATCTTCTTGGACGAGAAGATCCGTCTTAAGTGTGATTAGATAACCCTTAATCTCCTTCAAACTCAAGATTCAGTTCGGATTACCCTAATAATTTTTTAATAATTTTCTTTCCTGGTTTAGACTTTGGACAAATCCCTTTTCAAGACACAAGCCTTCCCTCCCTCACACAATTCAAGTGGCCCTACACACTTGTATCAATCAAACTTCATGTATGGGAGAATCATTATTATTTTATTTAGATTGTATCTAACTCGGAATAATTTTATCTCTTTATAAAATAAAATTTATTCTTTAGCCATAAAATGTTGAAAAATCCTAACCATAATTTAAACGGTTGTAAGAATTTTTTACCTTCTCGTTAGTGAATCTAAAGTTATAGCTTATGAATCTAGTCATGCAGACAAAAAACTATCCAACTTTTTCTCTGTCGTAAAAAGGTATTTTATCCTTTAATTTTTTTCTTCTTCTTAATCAGCATAGAATATAATCATATCTAAGAATATGAAGCTTGAGATTATGTTTTAGTGGGCAAAATTTCATTGACCCAAACAATAATTTTTCTTTAGTATCATTCGAAACAACCTCCTATTGAACAAGTTGTTACATTAATCTTAGATGATTAATTTCAAATCTTTACTTAATTGCTTTCCACATCTTTTTAAGAAATAATTATTAGAAACTCACAGCATTTCACACCGTTGAAAAAAAAAGATCGAAACTCTACTCGAAAAAATAGAGTTTCTCAATTTTCTTTTTCGTTCACTATTTTCTCCCCTTATAGCACCATATTAATTCCAATTTGAAAAAAAAAATTTGGTTAAAATTTTTTTTTTCTGTTCTATTTTAGTCCTTCAAATTTGGATTAAAAAAAATTTCTTTTAACCCCTATCGTTAATTATTTTCATTACAACCTAAATTTCATACCTTATTTTTTTCCTCTTAAATTTTCAAATATTTTGTTTTAGCCCATCAAATTTTCATCAAAACCATAAACACTAAATCCAAAACATGATATCTAACCTACTCCACGTATGGCTGACAATATGAAAAACAATAATTTAAATGATCATGTGACACAATATGAACTAGAATAGTAGTGAGTTGAAATATTTATAATAATATTATTATTGTTCTTATTATTATTTGGTTTGAAAAAAAAATGATTGGTGGGAAATTATGATGGGAAGGGGAAATGTGAGTTGCAAATGGTATATTCATCCCCCACCACTTAACCAAAGAATTACAAGCCAACAAGCTTTTGAGGAGTAAGTGACAAAAACTAACCACCATCTTTTCCCAAAGTGCTTTTTTTTTTCTCTTTTTCATTTTTTTTCATTTTTTTTATTTCTTTCTGCAACTTGCTTGCAAAAAGAACCTTGCCTCGAACTTTATTCTTTTTTTTTTTTGAGGGGTCATAGCCTTAGCTAAGTTGCTACCACAAACACATAATCACAACTTCAAGCTTTCGGTCATTACAATATTCTGATTCTTCTTCTTGTTCTTCTTTTTTATGAGAAAAAATTATTGGCATTTTAGAATTTTTGGTAGGGGAGAAAAAAGTGGCAATGGCCTTTTGAATACTGTTCGGGTGTGGGAGAATGGGAGTAGAGAGGAGACAAATAGAAAGGGACACCTCGAGGACGTTTTAGAGACCCTATTGCTTCCTCATTTTCGGATATTGAATTCTTCTCCTGTACTACTGTGTTCTATTTGCTCTATTTTCTTTAATATTGTTGCTCTTTCGATGAGACGGTATTTCACTTTTAAATCTCATTTTGGTCATCGAAAATTTTAAGCCAACTTTCAAAGTTTCTGTTTTAGTAACTTGTAAATTTTCCGTAACAATATTTAGCTAACAATGATAGGTCTACTCATTGAATAAATGAATACAAGACATGTACCATGGTAGCTTTGTTAAATTATTTATTAGAAATTAATGGTAAATATTTAGATGATTTTTCTTATATAAATTTAGAAACAAAAATAGAATATTTATATTATTCTTAGACTATATTTTAACTATTTAAATCATCAATTCACTTTACGATGGAATCAATTATCTATCCCTGTTGATTGACTTGCAATTGCAAATAACTAACTAGTGATCAAGACCAAGCGAATATTAAAAATAATTTATGGGTCATTTTCTAGGTGTTTGATTTCTTTTTTAATAATGTTAATTTTAAAAATATTTACCAAAATATGTCACATCTCAAACTAATTACGGGAATAATGCTTTGAAATTCATAGATCGTCTCTTGAAGAAAAAATATGAAAAAAAAATAAAACCTAACATGTCGTCTCTTATGTTAGATTATTTAAAAAAAAAATAAAGCAAAAACGACATGGTCGAGAGACCATGTTTAATTTTAAAAAAAAATTCATAGGTCGTCTCTTCAGAGACGACCTATGAATTTCAAAACATTATTCCCATAATTAGTATGAGATGGGGCGTATTTTGGTAAATATTTTTAAAATTAACATTATTAAAAAAAATCCGTTTGTGAACGGTTAAAACTTTTTTTATTTGAATTTCTTTTCAATAGAAACTATAGTTTTGATTTATAAAATTCTTTGAAAATAGTGGTAATGGCTTGTTGTCATTTTTTTTCCCTCGTAATAAATAAGCTTTTTATTATTTTCGTATAAAATATACTTAATATTTTTATGTACTAATAGTTGAAATATTATTGAGATATATCTATTTTCTTCGTGGACATATCCGTGTTATTTATTTGCTTATTATGAATTAATATTTATTTAATTTCTTATGTATAATTTTTCTTTTCTTCTCTTTTAAAGAAAAAGGGAAATAAATTAATTGTACTGCATTCTATGGATATATAGCTCTGCTTCCTGATCAATCCCCAGCTATCATCAATCCTTTCCTTTCTCAATTTTGGTTTATTTTTTAAGGCACATATAAAATTATCCAAAATAATATTTCTAGACTATTTTATAAGCAATTTTCCTTTATAAGAAATGAATTATTAAAAGAGACAATGTCTCAAAATTTATAAATCTTTTAAAACCAACTTATTTTTATTATTATTTTCAAAAACCACTTTTAATATGAAAAAAAATAAATGGAAAAATATATCCCCCCCCCCCTCCCAAACAATTTCCTTCACAACATCTGCATAAGAAAGGGATTGTTTTTATTTTTAGGATAGGATAATTTGAAAGGTTATGACAAAAATGAGGTACTTTTACTGGTAAAACATGTTAATGTAGACATGATTTTAAAGGAAATCGTGTGTACAGGACAAGCAAGAATTTGTAGTAAACCATGCTTATTTTAGACACAAGGGGAATTCGCAATCCTCATATATGTATCTGATATACTTCCAATCTACATCTAAATCTGAAAGGTTATGACAGAAATAAGGTACTTTTACCGGTAAATCATGTTATTTAGATATGATTTTAAAGTAAATCCTGCGTACAAGACACGAATTGGCAGTAAATCGTGCTTATTTTGGACTTCTGGTGAATCAAATGTACTAGTTAGAAACGTCTTGTAGAACACAATTTACAAGAAAATCATGTCAACTATACACAATTCACCGATATTGGTCGGGTTATGCCACTGTAAACTTGTTTCGAAACACGATAACGAACTTGGTAAGGTGGAGCACAATTATGGACTTAGTTCAAAACTGTATTGTTAGCCAGAAATTATGGATTATGCCACTGTAAACTGTATTGTCAGCCACACTTTTAAGATCAGAAAGAGAACCATTTAAACCAATTCTACATGAACTCCAGAAATCTAGTTTTTGAGCAGAGCCTAAGAAGCTGCAAATCTCCATCTCTTTGAACATTTTCACATGTTATGCAAGAAGAAAGAACTGCCATGGGAGAACTGAAATGGTAATGGAAGCTCCCAGGCTTAGAAAAAAAGTGCAAAGAAGAAGCCATAACAGAGATGCAAACTCCGAAAGAATAAAAGATTATTCTTGAAGAGATCAGCTAACAACACTTTAGGATATCAGAGGAAAAGGGAAGAAGGAGATACCTTTTTGTGTACAAGAACAAAAAAGAATACGTTCAAGCCTGCAAGTTAACATACCTAAAGCAGAATCATTCCGCCGCATCGGAATCCTCACCTGCCTCCAGCCCTGTTAACAGAAGTGAAGAAGACATTAATGGCAGTGGAAGAATAACAATCTCTCTGTCTCTCAACTTATCTGTATTGTGTTATTCGATGTGAAATCGTGGAAGGTGTTAAACGTTAAACTTAACATGGTTGAATAGCTGATAGGTTACAGTTAACTTAATATGTTATCAATACCTTTAACACTCCCCTCACTTCGCTTGTGAGCTTGGTGATTTGAACAACGGTTCAACAAGTGGATATCGATATTAATTGGGGAAGAAATGACATTACTAGATTCAGGCCTCCTGCTTTAATACTGTGTTAAACTCGCATTGAACTTAAAATGTAAGCTAAAGGGTTATGGTAAATTTACTAGTTGATCAGATATTTTAAATAAAAAGAGTGGAAGAATTACCATCTCTCTCAACTTCAGTACGTGTGTTGTGTGTTTTATGTGAAAGAGTGGAAGGATCATCAAGAAAGAGCAATGTTATAAAAGCATAGGTTGTTATAGAGTGCAGTCAAATATCTATCCTCAATTAGCTTTGCTGACAGAAACGAAACGAAGAATGTAAGAATTCTAAAGAGAAATCGATTTTACAAAATGAAAATGCAGAACCCATTTAGAAGAAAGCAGACTAGGACTGTAACAGCACTTGCAATGTTTACAGGAACCAAGCCAAGAATTCAAAGCATAATTCGAAGGCTTATCATGAAAGGGCATCGAAGAAATAAAGAAATCAAGAAGAAGAAGGTTTCCTAATGTGATTTGAATGCATGCGAAGACAATGTAAGTTATTGAATTAGTCTATCATTTCCTTAATTGAATTAATGAATTGGAGAAAGGCAAGAAAATCAACCTTCTTCGCCTTCTTCACCTTGTTGTTCTTCTTCTTCTTCTTCCTCGTCGTCTTCGATTCCTCCTTCGTAATTGATTCCATACCTCTCGTTCAGGTAATCCACCGCTGCCGGCGTCAAAACCATCTTATCGGAATCCAAGATATCGAACAAATTCAGTGTCCTAGGCGTCAACAATTTCAAGGTTCCGATATTGCGGCTGGAAAGTCGCACATTATCTGAAACCTCCGTCATTAAGAACAACGATTTCTCCTTTGGGTCGATTCCCCACCTCTTCAGTGCAGCAATGAACTCTTTCGTTTTCGGCTTCTCGAATTTGTCGCCAAAATCTTCCACCACAATCGTATTCACTGCCGCGCTAGCCACCGCCGTCGATATCGCCAATCTCTTCTCCTTTCTGTTGATTTTAATGGACCAATCTCTAGGTTTGGGCCCGAAGACCACGCCCCCACCAGGCCGGAGAGGAGTACGCATCGAACCGCGGCGGGCCTTCCCCGTCTTCTTCTGCTGGTAGGGTTTTTTGCCTCCTCCGCTAACCTCAGCTCTGGTGAGAGTCGAGGCGGTCCCACGGCGTTTGTTCTGTTGATCGGTGATAATGGCTCGGTGAACAACGGCGCGGGCGGTTTCCGGTGGAGCAGATTTCAGGTCGAGGTAGGTCTCGCCGACTTTTTCTCCGGCGAAGGAGAGGACCGGAAGAGTAGCGAGCTGTGAGGAGATCGATAAGGGCTTGGTTTGGGGTTTTAGGGAATTAGGTTTCCAATGGCAAAACAGCTTCGAATTTTGGTTCGCAGAGGAAAGAAACACCGAAGAAGTGAAGAAAGAGAGCGATGATGGCGTCGTGGAGGTCGCCATTGGAGGTGCTATGGAGAAGCTTTGAGGCGCTCTCTGAGCTCTACAGATGGCTTCGTTATCCACTCCCGCTGATCAGTGGCAAAGACGAAAATAAAATTTCTTTCTTCTTTTTTTCACCTTATAAAAATAAATAAGTAATTTTATTTTTACTTTTAATTTTAATTTTCGAGTCCGGAAAATTATGTCTGCAAATAAATATAATAATAGGAAAATTCAGAATCCGCCGAAGCGAACTCCGAAACGAGACGAGCCGAGTTCTTCGAAGTCTTACTGATAGCCGTCCTCCTGGCCGACGTGTGCGGCGGCGGAAGCCCTCTCCGTGGCGAAGGTAGCTTGTCGGTGAGATACAACTGCCGGATTGCGTCCATCTCCGGCGATTCTCGAAGGCTTGCATTTGATACGAGTTGAGGTTTGTCGTTTCTGTTGTCTATTCAACCAGTGCCACAGTTCTAATACTGAATTTAGATTCGGATTTTTCCTTGCTTTTGGTAAAAAGACTTCAAGATTTCGGACTGAGGATTTGAGATCTAGGTTTCAGACCATGGCGAGCGAGGATTGCCGAGTTTATCACGAGAGGCAAAAGTTACAGTTCTGCCTCTTGCACGCTCTCAATAACCTCTTTCAGGTACCTTTTCATCCGCGAACCTTTGGCTGTGGTGACCGCTCTCTGATTGTTTGAAATGGAAAATTTTGTTAAATCTTGAAATTTATGATTTACGGTGTAATTAAGATGCAGAGAAATGGAAATATTATTTTTCTCATCAGTAAGGAAGAATTATGGTGCTGGGGATCTGAGAAATCGAACTTATCCTCTTACTATTTCACGATTCGTTGCATTCATTCTGTATTTCGATGTCCTCTCACCATTAATACGTTTTCTTTACATCTCAATCAAATACCCCTTGTACAACAGGAAAATGATGCATTCACTCGAGCAAACTTAAATGCAATTGCTGAAAATCTGGTGCTCAACGAGCCAAACAAAGAACCTTGGACGCCTTTATCATTTGTCTTTAAGCCTCATCACAACACGGTAACTGGAAATTATGACATAAATGTTCTAATTTCAGCCCTGGAAGAGAAAGGGAAGAGTGTGGTGTGGCATGACCGTCGGAATGGAGCTTCTTCAATCGATTTAGATGGGCCTGAGGATACTCACAAACTTATGGGAATTGTGCTTAACGTCTCAGTTAGAAGGTTTGGGGGCATTTGGAAAAGTAGACACTGGATTGCACTGAGAAAGATCAACGGATTATGGTATAATTTGGACAGTGATCTGCCCTCTCCTCGCCCATTTAAGGATACTGATGAAGTCAGGAAATTTTTGGATTACGAGATCGGTCATGATGGGGAAATTTTGCTTGTTATGAATGATGGAAACTGAATTTCTTCTTCTCAGATACTTGTATTTGTGCGCTTGAATCAAATGTAAACTAAGATCAAAGTTGGATTGTGTTGGTTGTTCTTTCTGCAACTTCTTTCACATATCGAGATCTACTTGGATTGAGTTAATGTTTCTGATCATTTTATATTCCTGGTTGAGAAGGGAAACGATTTGAAGTGAAAAGCAATTAGAAAAAGTTTGCACCTATAATTCAAACCTAAGTATTTTCTACCCAAAAGCCGAATGATGACTGTCATCTGGATTTGGTACCCTGCAGTAATTCTGAATTCACTTAGAACTTACAAGCTGCTGGTAAAACTACCACCAGATGAAACTGCACCCAAGATCTCACAGAGCAGAATGGTTTGCCATGTTAAGGATTCAATTATCTGAGTCATTGTGATACCTTTTGAAGGCCACCACACCAACAAACCCTGATGTTCAAGGATTCTTCCAGCATCAAAGGTTAGCTTCAGTTCTTATCTAGAGTTCTGAGAAGAAGTTTATATTATCTCACCATCACCCACACACCATTCACCATTACCATCATTGCTATGAACACAGCCGCAGTCTTTTTGTCTGCTGAAGGCCCGTAATATATATTTTAAGAAGTATGATGCATCACCACCAAAGAATGCTACCTAAAGGTTTATTAAAATAAGAACAACTTTATGTACTAAATAGATTTATTTCCCCATTATTCTCATTATAAAGTCCTTTTCTTCTTAAATAGACATTTTAGCTTTAGAAATTCCCTTTTTCCCTTTATCTGAAACAAGAATCTTTTAAGCCTTTCATCATTTCTTTTTCCCTGCCTTCCACCTTATTTAATATTGACTTTGCTTCCTTTTGGATTCATTAGTCGCTTTCCACTATTTCTCCTATTCCAAACCTGTGAATGTTAGAGAAAGAATTGTTTTTCCAGAATTGAAAAGAAGAAGAAAAAGGAATATGGTAAAGAAAGATAGATAAAAGGGTGTGTATTCCAAGCATATTCTCTCTCCCAAACTTACTCATTTAAAGTGCTATGTTGGAGTCAATCTATGTAGCTAGCTATTCTATAGTCTAAACACTGCTATCAATTTAGTCCACTAAAATGCAGTAGAGAGAACGAAATGATTATTATTGCTGTATTTATGGTTTTATTTATTACTAGATGTCAAAATGTTGATTTCTAACATTTCTGTGCCTACTCCATGCGTGCGGATCTTTCTATATTCTCTGTTTATCTGTGACATCAGGATAAAGTTCAATGTCTTTGGCTGTCGATCAATTATTTAACGGTTGAGATTGTATGATTAAAAAAGTGTTGGACATTATATAGAATGACCCTCACTTTCTTCTTCGTTGCTTGACAGAGATTTAATGTACCGAAACAACAGAGCCTTCTTGGGTTTTGCTTAAGAAAGCGAGGTGGGCAGGCTGCATTTTTCAGTTTGTGTGTACGTCTCTTTTCTCACCTCCCTTTCTCCCTCTGTGTTATTCCCTTCTATTTGGGCATTTCAATTCATTTTAATCTCTCTCGTCAACTTCTCTCTCTCTATCCTCAGACGTTTCTTCCAATCTTCTGATTCTATGACGACAACGGCAAAGCAGAGGATTGAGAAACAGAACTCGACGAGCAACGGAACAGGGCGAAACGGAGGTTCGTCTTTTGGGAAGTGCAGATTTAAACCCCCCCTTAAACGGTTGCAATTCTCTCCTCTGAGCTTTCTGAAGCACCTGACCGATAAAGTGACCCGAGCTTTGCATTTGATGTCCATGAAGAGAAGACCCTGCCATGAACAACCCGCACCAGCCGTGCCCGCCGCCAGTTCAAAGCCAGTCTCCGCCATCGATTCACATCGAACAGAGGCTGTGGAGGACTGCATCAAATACATCAACTCTTCTTCTTAGCTCGCACCAATTCATGTAAGATTTTTCTCCAGAAAATGCGTATATATGTCATCTCTGTGTGGATTTAATGCCTGATATCATGATTCGTGATGCAATGTTGTTTTTTTCAGTCATTTTTAGGCGAAAAATTGGGGGGGAAGTTATGAATTATGATAATTCATAGGGCAGTAGGTGGAATAAGCCTATCAGATAATAGTATTTGTTCAAGAAGATCTATTGTGGAATGGGAAAACTTCCCTCACCAATCAGTGTCAATTTTTCATTACTTTCTTTGTGTCATATTGTTGTCATTATTCGTTACATAAGAAGGAGAAGAAGATTTTACTTATTTTTGTTGGTGGGTCCCTTCAAATTCTCTTTTGATGAATCCCTGTTTTTTATAATGTCAATTTTAGAATATTTGAAAACCGGTTAAAAAATTTGGCCAATGTTGATTGAACTGACCTAACTTTGAACTATTTGTTATGTTATATTTGAATTATATGCGCATAACTTCTTTAGGTTACATATCCTCATTAATTCCTCTTTTAATGATTACATGAGTCTTGCTTGTTCCATTCCTAGAGTTTGAGGTTCAATCCTCATTTCCATATATTCAAAGGATCACACACTAAACAAAGAAACAGCATTCTCTTTCGACCCAACCTTAGATAAATAATATATATATATATATATATATATTCATCATTTGATTTTAATTTAATGGTGGAAAAACTAAAAGTTATATTAGGTGGCTCATATCAAATAACTTTCTCATGAATTTTTTTCTTAACCATAATTCATTATCATACAACTCCAAAACATCTCAAAACTCAATAATTCAAGTCTTAAACAAGCTTTGAAAATAATCAATAAACACTAGATTAAACTTTTTTATAAATCAATCCACCTCGTTACAGCAACAAATATTTTGTGCTTTTGTAGTTGGACCAACTCTTATTTCATCATAATTCAAATGTTTTATCCCAAGAAAACCGACATTTTATGGGGCAGCAAAATCTTCTTGTCATTTCAATTGAGAGATAAATAGAGAGAGAGAGATGAATAATTACGAACAATAATTAATGTGACGATAGTATCGAAAAATAATCAATCAGCAGCAACAGAAACATGGCCTGAAAATTAAAGGTTTTTCAGTACAAATAAAAATTATATATATGAGTGAAGAAATGGGCGCCGCCGTCGCCATCAGTCTTTCTTGGCAAATAGACCGCCGAATCCGCCGCCGTTCTTCTTGGGCGGGACTTGGACGGAGTTCTTCCGGCCACGGGCAGCGTCAGCAGCGCCGGCGCCGGCGCCGCCGTTGTTCTTCCCCTCGACCTTTTGAAGAATGGGGTCGGTTTCGAGAAGCTGATCCTTCTCGAGGCCGCCGAGGATCCAATCGAAAAGGCCCTTCTCTTTCTTGCTTTCGCCGGCGCCCTTGGCCGCCGTGGCCGCGAAGACCCGTCCGGCGGCCGGAGAGAATGCGATGGGCAGAGCAGCCATTGTTTGGGAGGAGGAAAATGAAGAGGGTTTGTTGTTTGGTGAGTGAACAGAAATGGAAATTTGGGTAAAATAAGAGGCGGTGGGCAGAGACCGGCGCGAGCTCACCACAGGCGCCTTATCCTTAACCTTTTGATTCTGGTTTTTGGGCTGCACAATTCTTTCTTAATCCCCACCACACGTGGCTGCGGATTCGACACGTCGCTCGTTCGTGTCTTCGGATGGGCCGATGGCCCGATACTTCAATGGGCATCCTTCATCCTGGGCCGGCCCATTTTAAACAACAGCCTGTTAGATATCTATTCTTTGTACAAATAATCACATTTATACTCCGTAACACCCGGATTAATTATAGTTCCTCCTATGATACTCCAATCTCCCTATGAGTTGGTTATTAAAGGAGGTCACGAAGGGTATAACGAACATACCTTGTCTTTCCTTTTAAGATAGGAATACAAATGACAAAATCGTAGACATACCATCGAAATTATACCTAGTCTAATCTTTCTTTTAAGATACGAATACAAATTACAAAATCGTAGACATACCACCGAAATTATACCTAGTCTTATCTTGAAGCACCTAGTGATAAACTTTGGCTGCAACACATGTCCGTAACTCTTCCAACTAGATTTTTTGTCTTTATGTTACTATCAATATTTTGTTGAACTAACGTTGCGTGAACTTTCTACCTCCACTAAATTAAAATCAACTTCACATGTTACGATTGAATCTAAAGTATAGAGTTTTATTTTTCATAAATTCATTATTAACTAGTACTATAAGTATATGAAAATGTTTTCTATCAAAAGAAAAAAAAAAATTATATATGCACACACACACATACATATAAACGGCACCATAAACTTTAATAACATGTGAAACGAATATTATTAATTAATTAAGTTTTATGTATTTATTTTAATATTTGTGGCTAGCAAAAGAGCATTGTGTTGTGGTTTGCTTATGCTTTATAGTTTGGTTTTGTGTATTTTACTGCTGATTTTATTTTGGACGCTCTTTTAGTTGTTTAAAGATTGGATTGAGACAATTATGTTGCTTAATTGTGTGGTTTGTTTGTTGGGTTTTTGTGTAATCTAATAGTCAATTTACAGTTAATTTCATGATTAAATTTCAATTATGTACTAATTTTGAAACTTATTCAAGTTTTAGGAATCAACTGATAAGTTTTTAAAGTTTAAAATTCACAAAATCGACCAAAATATAAATTTTAAATTAAAAAAGAAAGAAAGCGGCCCGGTAGTTATTGGGCTGGATGTGTAACAAGCACTCACAGTCGAGCCCATTTCGGGCCCATCGAATTATTTCGGCCCTAAATTAATAAATAAAGGGATGGCCACGCAGGTCGAGACTCTAGAGAGTGGCGGTGGCGCGTGTAGCACACGCCCGACAACCTATGCATGGCACAATAATTAAGGGAGGTGTTTTTTGTCTTTCCACGTGCACCACTGAGATCCCAGTACCACTCGCCTCTACAATATTTCATTATTGCTCGAACTTCGAAATCACTTTTTAATTTTATGTTTTTCTTTCTTATTATTACCATTTATTTTGATTTTCAACGGAAAATATCGTTAGGTTTTTTGTCCTGAAAAGTATTATATTAGGACTGGGACAAATTAAGAAAAACTACAACAAATATTATTACAATAATTCTATTTGGTCGTACTTTAAAATATCATTTAATAAGGAAAAATAACATCTTATTAACTAAGGGAAGGATATTGGATTATCTTGGAGAGGTGCATAGCTGAATAAAAAACATACAATTATGAGGGTGAAAAAAATTGTAGATGATTCGCTCTATCACCTGGCTTAGGTCTCTGAGGGGTTGACTCAAATTCAATGGTGATGTCTGCTTGCCAAATGACATAGTCGGGTTGGAAGGAATAATTCTTGATGATGAATGGAGCTTTGTTGAAGTGATGTTTGTGTTAATACCACGTAATTTTGACCCTAAAAAGTATTTGGTTGGGTTGGATTGATTGATATATGATTTGAATGATAGGGATATGGAATTTCCGCCTCTAATACTCACTTAAATGATATTGTCGATTTGGGAGAAATATTGCAATGCATAAAGTTTTCTCATATTAAAAAAATTACAATATAGTGGCTATGGATTAGCCACAAGAAATACTTCCTATGTTTTTTTCTTACATTTGGATATCCACCCTACCCAATCGACCTGCAAATAATATATAACTATTTATGATTTAAGTCATCGTATCATTTCATTTTATCATTAAAATTAATTTTAATTTCAAGAAAAAAGAAAGAACTCTAGCAACTATAACGATATCATGTAAGGATAGATATTTGAATTCACGACTTTTTAGTTGAAAATAAGTGTCTTGACTAATTGAATTAAACTCACGGCTGAAAATTTTCAGCCTTTATAATTAAGAGTTCTTTTTTTTTTTTCCTTTAAGATAATTTTTCAATTAATTCAAAGTACGAAAACGGACATCACGGAAATTTGATTGGAGGCTAATGATTGTGATTACTGGTTTCTTCTCTTATTATTAGGAATCATTATAACTCAAAAAGGAAACCATAAATTTTCTTTAGAAACAAGCAACGGGCTACCACTTCAGGCAAAAAAAAAAAACTTAAATTTCACACTACTTCTGATAATATTGTACTGTTAAACTAAAAGGAAAATATATATATATGTATATCATTAATATTATATCGCATATAAGTTGAGATCATTGCATATTTCCTTAGCCTTGAACTCTAACTATAACTTTTAAATTGACTACCTCAAAAAAAAAAAAAAAAAAAGGATTGAGGTCTGCATCACTATATTAATGTAAAAGTCAATTATTATTGTAGCTTACTTTATTTAGTCAAATAAAAATTGTTTGAAAATCCACATTTCAAACTGAGTTATACACAACATAACAACACCATCGTTTTAAAAAAGAAAAACACGCATATTTTTTAATTATTCATGAATAATGTATTTTCTTTTCATGAATAATGTAGTTTAGGGGAAAAGAAAAAGAAAACTATTTGGTAAACAGCTGATAAACGTTTACTAGGATGTAGGAAAAACATTTTTGGACATTTTTGCCCTTTATTAGATTTCCAAATTTACAAATTATGGTATTAATATATTATTACAAATATTAAATTAATTATTAATTATTAATTATCAATACTATAAATGCATGGAATATAAAAGGTTAGAATGTAAAAAGTTTTCCAACAACATAAAATTAATTTTTTCTTTAATTAAAATTCAAACTAGAATTTCAAGAGTTTTAGAATTTGAAAAGCCTTTGTAACGTTTTATCATCTACTACTATAAAAATAGATTTTCTTCTACATGTTTTTCACAAGTTTCAATACTTTTTTATTCTTAGTTCCTTGAAACATCTCTCAAAGATGATTCAATTTTGAAAACATCTCGAGATATTTGTGACATATTCATCAAGTTGCAAGAGAGGCATATGTTGAATCTACATATCTCGAATACTAGGTTTGTAACATTACCATTCCACAATTACAAAGTTAAATAATAGTATCTATCAAGCAATCTTCAAGAATGAGCATATTTACTCTAAAAGATGAGTGTATAGTAAGTACTTGGATTTTTTTTGTTACTATTGTTATTTTTCTAATTTGTGTGTTTTTTATTTGGAACGTTTCTTTTTTTAGCAATTTTATTTAGTTTAGGATTTGGACTTTTTTTTTTGTTACTAATGTTTTTTATTGTTTAGTGTATTTTTTTTATTTGGAATGTTTTTTTTAGCAATTTTATTTAGAATATTTGTTTAAAATATAGATAATTACAAACTCATGTTCTTATTGTTGAAAAAAAAAATCATAGAAGTCAGTATATAAAAAAATGTTTAATTAATAAATAATTATGAACAATAATTTGTATAGAATCGTAAAAGGTGGAATATAAAACTTTGGGTCATTTTATTTTCTAATAATATAATTTAAAGAATTTTTCTTTAATAATTTTAATTATAATATAAAATTAAATCAATAAAATAATTTAGTTTTAGTTAAAAAATTCAACATATACAACAAAATGTCAGCCCTAAACAAATATTTAATAAACAAACAAAATATTAAAAAAATAAAATAAAGGACCCATATTAAGTTGAAATAATTTAAAAATAAAAATATTAAAATACTTATTTACTTTTTTATTAATATATAATTTTTTCCTTTACTTTTAATTTATTTATTTACAAAATATATCATTAACAATTAACTATAAATAGTATATTTTAAAAATAATTATAAATAGTACATTTTATTATTAGTAATGAGCTGTCAATAATAATAAATATATATAAAAATTAATCTTAATTATTTTTTAAAATATTTTACATGAAATTATATAAAATTTAAGTTACCTTATAATTAAAAAAAATTTATACGTGCATTGCACGTGGTAATATACTAGTTGAAATAAATTGCCAATAAATCGTCGGGCAATATTTCATTCTATGACAGTTGAGACACCACACAACACGGACGCCACGTGGTAAAAGCTAATTGGCATATTTCCATATTGGGTTGCCACCCTGGGTAAGATTAAGGTTTTTTTTTCCTTTTTTTCTTTCAGAAAATAATGTCGGTAGCTTTGTCTTATTATTATTATGGCACTAAAATAACCAAACCAAACTCAAGAAATTTGCTACTTCGTTAATTTATTATTTAAAACACGAAGCCTATTTTGCTGCAATTATTTTTCTTGTAATTTTGACTATTTGATTTTATTAAATAAACAAACAACCCAATTTTGAAAGTATACACAATAATAAATTAAATTAAAAATAACCCAACTTTTACTATTTGTTTGCTAATAAATTTTAACATTTATAATATTCATTTCTTAATTTGACTTGAGATTTCAAATACATAAAAACACACTAAATTAGCCACAATCAACTCTGCTTTGTTTTTTAATTAATTAATGTTATTATCCAGTGGAATACTAAAATTTGAAAATATATACACAAAAATAAATAAATAAATAACCCTTTAGTGACATTCCACCACTAGGCTTTGAAACATGCAATTTATTTTAGTAATGCACAATAATGCTGTAAAATTAATTATTATATACGAGTACGAGAAAAAATCAAAACGAGCAGACAAAAAAAAAGTACTTGATTGTAAATTTCATTATTATAATTCTTTTAAAATTTGACCGTATATGAATCTCAAATTTTCACAATATTCTACTGTCATACCAATTGAATCGATATTCACTTTTCAACCACTCTTCAGCGAAGGTTTCATTTGTATGCTATTTACAGATTCGGCTATTTTCTCTTTTACAAATTGGTTCAAACTTTTAGGGGAGGAAAAAAAACTAACTAAGAGAGGTCTACATGTCCTTCAGAGGTGCTCACCGATAACAAAATGAGTCTGCAACCAGAAAACTCGACGTTGCGGTGTATTGTCTAATGTACTTCGACGCTCAAGTCAGTAATCGGAGTAAGATGAAGTAGGAGTAGACACATTAAGATTTCAATGACAATTTTTTTCATTTACTTGGTGGTTATGGGATCCTTCCCTTTTATGGGCACGGTGGACAGACAAGGAAGGATGACGGTTAGAAGTGTAGGGGCAGGTCGCGTTGTGCGAGGCCCTAACGGAGGGACGGACGTTCCCAACAATTAGTGGATAGTGTCTTCACCTGCAGATTTGTCCCCTTACGACTGTAGGTTGCAAGCTACAGTCTTCGACGTCTGGCTTGTAGAGTGGTGGTGGCGACATGTCCATACGCGTGTGCAGCGTATGATGCTAATCGTTTGTGGTCTCGCGTCTCGTTGTCGCTTTCTGTAATCGATGCATGTTCTACTCGAATTTCTCCCTCAACACTAATTATCCTCTGTCATACTCCACGATGTATATTAAAAAAAATTAAAAAAAAAAGTTCACACCTTTTACAGCCTTTAAAACTAATAACTAATAATAATAAAAAGATAGCTTTTATTTGTCTAAATTGAAGAGTTATTAATCAGATACAGCCTTTTCCTATATTCCTGTTTGGGGACCCCAATATTCTGGTGGTTTATTAAAGGACAGAGTGGTTTCAAAAGTTTAAATTAAATTAAAGGACAGACGCATTCAACATTTGGTGGCATAGTTTAATCCAAAAGGAAGATTTAAAATTCTTATTTGGAATATTTTAATAGGCCGTAGAGATGATTTTGAAGGCCCACATCCAAAAGCAATAACACCAATTTACCTGTTTAAATCATGTGGCCCACATTCATTTTCTTTATGGGCCGGAGCCCACATCTGCATTATGAAACTCAGCCCGTACACATACGGCATCTCGCGAGATAACGCCGATAAATTGAACGAAAACTGCTAGAGATCGCTGTGAATTACCCGGTTGAAATTTTGGGTACGTGACGGTGACCGTAAACCCCGGGAGCGCCGGCGGACTTTGGAAACGTGTGATTGGTCCACGTATGCAACTATTTGACTTTAAATGTCAAAACTGAAAGGGTAGGATGCGCTGGACGGCAGCGGCTTTTTAACTGGCGGCCGCCTTTTGTAAAAGTGGATATCACCCGCCGTTATTTATATAAATATATATATTCCTTAACGTAAAATCTGAAAAATATAGAGTAGTTTCACGTTTTTATATTCAATATATTTAAGATGTGTTATGGGGCAAAATCAACCTGAACATATGGGATTATATCAGGATGGCACGTGTGTCTCGACATCGGCTCAAACACGTCCAAGATGAAAAGAAAGGTCTCGTATCTTGAATTAGAGCTCTGTTTGTCTCCAACATATAGAATACTATGATCAGGAAAAGTCGAATGATATTCGATAGAAAAATGATTCAGTTAAGAATCTCATGTTAAAAATATCTACGAACCTAATATAATTTATAAAATATATGTATTACTCATCTCATCAATTAAGTCGTCGTTAGACAATATGAGAGCCGTACCAAGAAATTCTATTGTACTATGTACTAGCTATTGTTGTTGTTCTTGCAAAACCTATCCAAAGGTTCAATCCGGATTGTAAGAAGTGGACGATGCCGTTTTTGTATTTCTATGACAAGTTCTATGGCACTCACAATTTCTAATAATAAATCTAACAATAAGTTCAAATGAATATTTGGTCAAAAATTAAGATTTAAAAAGATTGGAGGTGTTAAGTTTAGCAAGATACAATAATACGAATAATACAAGTGGCTAGGTGAAAATTATTTTGGAAAAAGCTGTGCAGAAAGAAGACAAAAAAGAGAACAAAACCAAGCAGAAACCCAACATTTAGGGACTTTGGATTCTCATTGGAAGAGGGCCAAAGCCGAAGAACAATCACTCATGCATATGTCAGTCAATTAATGAAGTAATTTTCATCAAATTTCGGAAAATAAATAAATTACATGAATTGTATGCAGCATTCCCAGTGGATTTGGCCGCAGAACGTGCCACCAGCACGTGCGCGTCCGACTGCTCAGAGTGCACCGTTCTGATTAGGCGAGATTAATTATTACATAAAGTACCACTAAAAAATAATACGTAAATCCTTCCAGGAAGAAGAACAAAGAGAAATTGCTTTAATCTTCAAATAACCATTTTATTTTTCAAAGTTAAATTACAAATTCCATCCAAATAATTTTAACACCTTCCGATTTGGTCTCTTTGATTTATGTTTAATTTCATTTTAATCCCAGTAATTTAGTCCAATTTTATAAGTTACAAGCCAGATCATAGAAACAAACTTGAAATTTTGGAGAAAATGTTGAATTTAAAAAACAATTTAGTACTATTATTAATTATACAAAGAGCAGAGCTGAGGTATGAAGTTGCGTTACACCTACTCTTTATTAGCTTTATTCTTGTGTTGCCCCCACACTCCGACATTAGCTTTTCCCAATCTTCCCCTTTGATTCACTTTCCTCCGCTGTCTTTTTCCATTCTACTTCATTGCTCAAAATTTCTCCAAATTTCTCTGCATCACCTTCTTCAATGGCGTAGATACCTCACCGATTTGAGCTTCATCAGCTCTCTTTTTAGTTTCCTTTCATCCTTGATGATTATGGCGCCAACTGCCGGATCTTTCTCCACTAAATTTCTTGCTCTTTTACTCCTTATTGTCCATGTCGGCTGCTTCCTTCTAACCTCCGCCGATCACCGCCGCCGCCACCGGAACCAGCCCTCCAAGAAGCGCAGAGTCTCCCCTG